TTTAGAGGGGGGTGGGGCGTAACGGCCGCTGCCATATTCAGTGTATAATGCGCCCTGTTAAGAAAGCATCACAAAAAGCAAATGGAAAGAAAAGCTCACCGTCGTGATTAATCTTGGCTTTTTTCTTGGGAGGACTTCTGTCGCGTTTCAGCTTCTCAGTAGATGAACGCTTCTCTAGAGGGCCTCTACCCTTTCTGGCCTGTCTTTCCAAAACAAATTCATTTATTAAAGGAAGAGGAGGCGGTGGAGGTGGAGGTGTCACAGATTTTTCACGCTGACGTCGACGACTATTAGCATCATCTGGTGGAGGCGGTGGTGGAGGAGGAGATGGTGATGGTGATCTAAGAACGTGAAAATGTCTCGCTGACTGAAAGTCGGCTTATTTCTTCATGAGGGAAAGCACTTACATTTCACGAAGATGTGGCGACCCACCGGTACGACGCCCCTTCGAGGCACTCTTGGAGCGGTTTTTCTTCTTCATTTCACCATCCGAATCTGATACCGATGCCACATTCCTAATTTAAGAAAGTCAGAGGAGGCAGAGGGTTGAAAGACACTTTCAAAATGGTGATAAACGACAAACGAGTGATCAGTGCGCTCACTTTTCCGCTGATGCCTGCGCCTCTTCCTTAGCACTAGCCACGCGATACTTTGCCGGTAGCGCAGGTGAAGGAGATCGACTCTGAGATGAGCTTCCAGATGAAGATGAAGACATCGCAGAGGAGCTTCCGCTGACCGATTGAGCGGATTCCGACTATAAATCATATTGGGAAGCTACTTTTGCATTTCACCATTACGAAAACAATAAAAAGTACAAACATCGCTGATATTCTCAGCACCACGGCTATCCATTGTATCGTCAACCTCATCATCGGATACCCGACTGGGTTCGCGGCCTTTCTTTGCTTCTGGTTTCTGGAAATAACCCGGGTTAATCGACAATGCTAAACAAAAATGAGTGAAGTAGCTGCAACAGATACCTTCGAGGGGAGTGGGTTTGCATTAGATTTCTTGGAAAACGCTAGGTCTCGTCCAGCATCACTAGACCCACGAGCGCTGCTAAAAGGAAATATTTGAATTGGAATCCATGCCAAAGAATAAAGAATCTCATATTCTGATGAAAACCACAAACCCAGATATCCGATCGCGAGAAGTGGCGGCGCTGTGTTTTTTGGGAATACGAAATCCCGCAATATCTCCTCTTGGTGGTGAAAGTCTCGTATCAGCCTGAAAAACAAAACGAAAATCTCGCAGGGGTTGAAGGGAAAATAAATAATGTCGTAAGGGTCTTAAAATCCAGTTAAAAATAGTACAAGACGTTATCGAAGAGTTATGTTTACCAGAGAATTGTGAAATGAATGATGGACAATTTCACGAGTGATCACCAGGGAGATGAGACACATAAACAGAAAATTACGGCACTAGTTATCGTTTACTGCTCCTTTTTCAGAATTCAGGCTAGAATTGTAATGGAGATTTATCCCTACACTAGACCAATCAGGGCACATCGTTGTTGGGGAATCCCCAATAGGGGGGGGGGTCGTATTTGGTCGCCAGGAGGGGGGGTCGTATTTGGGCTGAGAAAAATTTATTTTGATAGTTGATTTTCTCGCTTCATGGACGTTGTTTTGTTTTAGGTATTCCTTTTTGTTTTCTCTTGTTTTTTGTTTTTTTTTGTTTAGTTAAAGGGAGGGTCGTATTCTACGTTTGGCGTTGTAGGAGAGTGGCGGGTTGACTTTGGTGATTTTCCTGTTTTCGATTAGGTACTACTTACCCCCCCCCCCCCTCCCACCCCTCGATTCCGATGAGGAAGGATAGGGGCCGGAGGCCTGGGGTCCCGTAGCATCCCTTCAATACAAGAAAGGGGGGGATGGCGGAGGTGGGTTGTAGGACTCGACTGATCCAACGGCCTAACGTAGTTGGGAAGGGCCACGCAGCTCGCGGCGAGCGATGACTTATCTGCTCTTCTGCCCCCTCCTCGACAAAATAGAAGTAAATCGAGTTAGACATGATATAACTTCGCCCTAGCTATATTCAAAAGTTAAAACCGTATACACTGAAAATTGCAAAGGAACGGTTTTAGACTGCAAGGTTCTTGAAAACTACAAAATTTTGTTGCATGTTTTGTCGTTGACTGTTACTGTGTTGCCTCAAAATACAATATTTTTAGCTTTCTAGTGAATACTCGCTCGACGGCTCGCTTCGATAAGGAAAGGAACAGATGGAATGACGGGGCGGGGGTGCCGCGGTCGTACCACACTCCCAAAAAAAAAGGCGGGGGGTCGTATAGAGTCGACTAAAATCCCCCACCAATGATGTTCCCTGTGACCAATACACCCAGCGGTATTGTGACTCTATGAACATGAATATTGACGCCTGTGAATGCTGCGTCCACATTTTATTTCAGTTTAGCCACAGCGCAAGCACCAAGTGCTCTTCGAGGCTAATATGTGTCTGGGAGAGCAAAACACCCAATGGAACATATTTTCAGCACATTTGGTTGTTTGAGGTGTTTTTGGCTGGCGCCCAGGGCGCGGGCTCTAGATATTTTCCGCCAACGATGTGATTAACGCTTTGGAGGGGTTAAAGCCATCAGGAGGACGAAATCCAGCCAACTTTCTTCGGGAAAACGAATAGATCTTTGACCTGAATTTTAAAACGGAGAGGGTAGGGTAGATGGAATTAAAAGTAACAGTAGTAAACCTTCGGTGGTGAACGCGGTCGACGTGAAGTACGAGCATTTGGCATGATTTTTTTTTTTTTTTTTTTTTTTTTTTTTTTTTTTTTTTTTTTTTTTTTTTTTTTTTTTTTTTTTTTTTTTTTTTTTTTTTTTTTTTTTTTTTTTTTTTTTTTTTTTTTTTTTTTTTTTTTTTTTTTTTTTTTTTTTTTTTTTTAAATATTTTTTGAAAGGCTGCGAACGACGAAGTTTTTGCATCGCTATTTGAGAAGCATGACTGCAAAGATAATTTATTTTCCTTGACGGCTAAAACAGAGAACACTCCCAGGCTAAACATAAACCGCACGAGCTATTGCTTGACGAGCGTCGTCTCGCCTTTTGCTTCATTGTTATTCTTTGTCCATGCGCCTGGCTTCTTTTTTCGAGCCCATGGATCAGTCACGTCACCCATAGCACCACCGCTTGTACTTTCTTTTTTGCTGGAAAGAAAAATGAAGATAACTGAAAAAAAACGCAACTACCCATAACAAAGTACCTTTTTTATCACCATTTTTGTCTGCGTGAGGTGCAGCAGCACTTTTCCGAGGACTCCTAGCTGGTGATGTTGAGGAGTCGCTACTTATTGGGGATACATCAAGCGAAGGAGATATCCTGTTACTGCAAGTACGAGTAGATGCAATGTTGCATTCATACATTGCGACAGCGTCCTCCAGCGTTCAATAGCGTACCCGACCGCCAGCGACTAGGAAAGTATAAGTATCGAGCTTGTAAACGCCAATGCTCAAGCGTGCAGGAGTGAAGAGTGTGGGGAATTAGGAGGGCAGCAGACAGGTGCAAGAGCGCCATACAACTGCACTATACCTCGAGATTTCGTGCTTTACCAGCTGTACGTGGTAGTTGCATACAACGCAATGTCACGACGCCTAATGCTACCCTCCTATTCCCCCCATACTCCCCACTCCTGCACGGTGGGGAGGCTGCCATTTGCTAGAACGATATCTATACTTTCCTAGTCGCTGGGGCTGGCGTACGCTCGAAACGCTTCTGGCTGCTGACGCGCAATGTTACAGCGAGACATTGAACATACCTTCCACTGCGAGACTTTGCCTTGGTAGACGAAGAGCTCTGTGGTGAATCACGTCGTGAACGTGGTGCTGAATCTTTGACTTTTTCCTGTCGTGACGATGAATAGCGATGACCACTACCATCACCCCCTCCACTTCGTCTTGCATCACTGCGAGGCGGTGGCGGTGGTCGTCCACATGGGTACCGCACTTGTGGTCCCAAATCTAAAATTTTCAACGATAATTGACGTCTGCATAGTTCAGCACACTTATTTGAATGCAAAACAGAAAAGCTACGTAGCTAATCGAATTTGTCAGACAACAGCAAATAACATATAAACCATTCACAGCAAGCCATAACCTTGGATGCAGAATTTTGCTTCTTCATGTAGTCATAACCAATACTACAATGGTGGCATTGCACTTTGCTAATCAATTAAATCGATTCAAGGGCGCAGATATCTCAAATTTCTAGCCTATTTTTCTTCTAGCCTATAATTTCTTTTGTATACAGGGTACAGCATCGTGATCAGCGAACTAGCGGTATTCGTGCAACCCCCTTCCGGCTCTATCTCTAAGCTGTAACAAAAACGATCAGACACGTAACTATCTGCAAGCGTTTGCGGCAGCGACGTGATCCCAGCGCAAAATTGCGCTGGGTCACATTTGCTGACACTGTAGAAACTGCAGTGTCCCTCCTGG